AGCTTATGTCATTGATCATATCAAATTTAAATATAATTGCCGGTGTTTATTGGTTTTTTAATATTTGATTAAAGATTTTGAATAAAGATTTTAGATAATTTAATGAACAACACAAAATATTATATATTATATAATTATATATTAATTATTTAGATAAGAATTATATGGACATATATACGATACAGTATACAACCGAACAATCATAATATAATCTGTAGTTGGAAATATCGCAGTTAATAATGTTAATTAAATTTAGATAAAATTGTATAATAATATAGAGAACTCAATTAAATTAATATCTTCAAATTTTCTAAAAGACCTGTAACCTTTTACAAGTTCAAATTTTAATAGAATAAAAATTAAATAATTAGCAAAAATACTTGTTTTTTTGAAAAATCAATTTATGCATGGCTATATATATAATATTGTGTATGGATGTAGGCAAGATAAATTCATAATACTATATAAAATACATTATACTAGTTTAAACTGTTTTTTTTTATTAACATTAAAGAAATAGAAGTAATGACAAAACACAAAAAAAAAAAATCTCATAACTTTTTCGTTTTTATGAATAAAATTCATAAATTTTTTTTTTAATAAATTTTAACTGCTTTTTATCCATTTGTGTCATTAAAATTATCAATTGAATTTTATATCTTTAAATATGAATACAATAATAAGCAGCTATTGTAAGTATTAAGTATGTCAAAAACACAAATAATATTGACAGTTTGTTTTGACATTTTGGCGCTGACCATTTTTCATTTTTATTATTTTCACTCAATCATTAAAGAGACACAAAACAAAAAGAGCAAAAAAATAATATTTTTTTTTTTGATATAATTGAAATAATTTCAATTATTAATGAAAATATTAATAAAATTATTTTTTAAGTTAAATGCGAGAATATTATGCTTGATTGCATCGGTGACTGAAAGCACTGTAGCGGTGTGAAATAAAATATATTTTTAATTAATTATAAAATTATGCGTTATTCTGTTATAAAGTTTAATCTTATATTTACATTTCGCACAATTTACAATTTGGATTATTATAAATTTTATAAATAATTTCCGTTTTATTTAAATAATCGAAAAAGAATCATCAAAATTCGCCAACTCGGCTAATAATTAAATATGTGTCATTAGTATGGTTCAAATGTTGTGTATAAATGTCGTGTATTGTATAAAGTAAAAAATTTGAAAGCATCTCTTAAAATATTGTGGTATATGCGGTTTCAAAAATAAACAAAAAAGAAAAAATATTTTTCTATAATACTATTACGGTTTCAAATTACTTAAATTTTAACGAATTTCGGGTAATTGATTACTTGAATCATTTTATAATATGTTTTTGACTGTATTATTTCTTATATACATAATATGTAAAATTTTAATTTTAATTAACTAAAATATGAATCAACGAAAATTTTCATTTTGAAAACGTATCTAAAAGTAGAAAAACCTAATTTTGATTGGAAGGAAAACAAAAAAATAATAAAAGATTAAACTGAAACTGGGAAGAGTTGAATGCAGCTGCAGGTCTCATGCGGCGTGTCCATACAATTGTAGTTTGAGCTAGATCTACATCATACGACAGATCTAACGTCTCCCGTCGGGGAGACATCGGAGTTGTGATGGGGTTATGACTTGGCATTTTCTGATTGAAAAATATGCCCGGAGGATGGGAGGCCCCGATCTCTGCAGAAGCTACTTTGACGAGCAGGAGAATAGTTCAGTTCAGGGTGAGGATATGGAAATTCAACGGTATCGCAATGGGTCAATCTGGCATAAATATTTCCTTTAAATCGCCGCGCTAAACTAACCCAACTTAACCTACTCATTTTTTTTTTTAAACTTTCAAGAATTTTTTATCTAAACGTCATATTTACTAAACAATATAATAAAATTATATAATAATTCCCAAAAATAAATTGTTATATTTAAGAATAAAAAAAATTGTTGTCAAACTTTAATGAATTAATATTATTTAATCTATTTTAATATTATTTCTGTCTGTTATACATACATGTATTAAATTGTCTATAAAATAATTATGATATGTACATAAAATATAGAAGCTGTAATATATTTGACTTTAGGTATACATACATCATGGCTATATTATACATATTTATTAATTTATAATATAAAATACTGACACACCATAATAAACTGAAGAAGGTACAATAAAACAATAATTATTATTATTATTATTTCTTTTTATTATTATTATTCTTACTTGGAGAAAATGATAATTATAATTTATAAGTATAATGCGTTTGTTATGTAGTAATATAAATTGTAGTAATTGTACAGTATAGTGAGTGTGTGTAAATGCAATATTGTATATTTTGTATGCCTGCCTTTTAAATAAAAAATTAATAGATCTTTAATTCGCTTCATATTTTGTGGCGAATTCATTTTCTTATTATTATTATTATTATATTACACACATTTACTGTTTGTGCATTAGATCTAGTATTAAAAATTGAGAAAAAAAATTAAAGAAAAACGAAAACAAAATTAATTTTTATTTTAAATTTTTAGTCTAGTTTGTTTCGTCATGGTAATTGGATTTCAATTTTATAAAAACGGATAATGAAACGGAATGTTCAAAGATTTTCATTTTCTTAAATGAAAATTAAATAAGAAGAAAAACAACAAAAAACAAAAATTCGGCGGTTTTATTTGGCGGTATTCTTATTATTTTTTTGTTTTTAAATTGTAGATTTAATAATTATTTTATTTTTTTTTTGTAATCATAATTTCATTTAAATTTTTTGTTGTTATAAGAAATATGTATAAGTATATGAATGTGTTTATATTAATAATTATGATGAGTTTTTTTTTTGTTTTGTTTAATTCAAGTTTTAAAATTTTAAGACCATAAATGGATTTGAGACAAAAATTAAATTTAAGAAAAAAAGTTTTTTTTTTTTATGGATGAAAATTATAAAAAATTTTTTTGTTCTAAGTTCTAAGGCAATTATAATAAAATTTAATAAAAGAACAAAATAAATAGAACTGTTTATAGAGAATAATTTTTTTATAATAAAATAAAATATAAAAAAAATATGATAAAGAAAATTGAAGGAAAAATAAATCTTATTAAGAGAAAATGTTTTTAATATTTAAATGAAACAAAGACAAAAAAAACTAAAAATGTGTAATTTTAAGTTTTGATTAATTTTATTTTAATTAAATTAAGACAAATATTGATTAATTTTCATATACTTAATACAATTCATGTTAAATATGATTATTACACTTTAATTTTAGCCATAAAGCCGAGAACCAATTGAAATATGAGTCACTACATGCAAGTGACATGAGTGATAAATATTTTAAAGTGATTGACAATATGAATTAAAATGAAAAAAACTAATTAATTTTTATTGAAATAATTTTAAATAAGATTTAACAATAAAATTTAAAGCAAGACTTGGGTACAATAAAATTCTTAAAATATGTTGATAAAATTATATCGAAAAATTCAAAAAATCGATATTTTTAATGTATATATGCCTATATGTATATGTGTAAACAAATTCTTAAAAGAAATATGTGTCAATTTTCTTATATTAAAAAAATTTTTTATTATAAATTAAGTAATTAAGTAACTTTAAACTAGTTTTAAAATTATAATTTATTAGTTCGGGCAGGTAGATTTACATTAAAATTTATACAAAAATTTATTTAAATTGAATATAATTGTAATTAACAATATTATTTTAATTTACTATAAAAAACTTAAGGGTTTTGTTTCAAATTTTATTAATAATTAATTATATTTTAATAAATAAAAAATTTAGTTGCTGAAAATTTCGATTCCTGCACTTTTTGGGCTAATCACACTATAGGACTGCTTTAAAATTTTATCTTTGACCATAAACTTGAAGTTTTCATTCAAATGAATGCCTTCAATGATTTAAATGTTACAAGAATGATTAAAAATAATGCTTTTGCAATTGAATTTACAAATAGAAAAATTGTACTTTTAAATAATTTTACTTTTTATACTCTATATTTATTAATGATCATTTAAATGCTTATATTGTGCTTTTTAGGATAGAAATGAATATTAATTAAATTTCTAAAAATGGAATGCGAAATCTTCTTCTCTTATATATCTATATATATATATAAATTACTATATAAGTGAATTTTGTTTCGTTGTTACGTACATTTGAATATTTAAAAAAAAAATTCTTTATATTATTTGAACAAATGGCACCTGTTTTTTTTTTTTATTATTATAAAAAATAAGTACTTTATTAATTTATATACGTAGACAAGATTTAGCGATTATTTGAATATTATAAAGATTTTTTAAGTTTACAGATTAAAATTTAAAGCAATTATTTCTGAAATAAAAATGTTATTAAAAATATGATTAAAATATGGGAATATTAAAAAATTTTCTTTAATAAAAATGTAGTTTCCAACCATATACAAAATTACGAAACATTGTTTTTAAACAATTTCTTTTGTACTCGTATTTGAATTTGATTTAATTCAAAGTCCAAAACAATTCCAGGATATTCTCTCCCGAAAGTCAACGTTAAGGGCGTATAATATTCTAATAACCGGAAATCATTCTAAATGAATAACTCTTTCTACTCCACCAGCATGTACAAAAAAGTAGTTGAATGGAAAAGTCATTATTCCAGGCATTGTAGCATATGTACTTTGTTGTAGATGTTCTTATATATTTTTATATTTGGTTTAATCCCCAATATTTGAATTCATAGATTAGTTTTTTTTTCTTATATGGTAAGATTTCAATATGGAAGTAGTTCGGAATATAGTTTGGAATATATATTTTTTTAAAGAAATGCAAATTACCTGGTGTGCTCTTATGAATCTACTTTTTACTATGTTTTCATATAAAAAATTATAATTCAAAAAATAATTCAATTTATTTTTCAATTATTTTAATTTCAATTATTTACATTTTATTATAACATTATTTTTATATTTGTTATATATTTGTAGTTGGAATCACAATCAGATGGTTTAAGAATTTTACATATATTAGGAATTGAATACTATCATAGCGGTGAAGTAAAGTGTACTGTTATACATCCAAATAATAAACTTATTAATTTATCAGCATATACAAATTTAACAATATTACCAAGCAGTTTACCAAATCAAAATATATTTAATTTCGAAAATACAGAAAGTAATGAAACACCAGATTTACCAGTTTATATAACAAAAGGACCAGATGATTGTACAGCATTAGTTGGCGGTACAATTGTATTAAAAGTCCATTTTGGTGGAAAACCAATACCGAAAGTTTATTGGTTCAAAGCTGTAAGTATATTCAATAATTTTTAATATAAGCAAAATTAGTGTTGGTAAAAGATCGGTTCACCAGTCGTTTCGTTCTTTAGTGCTTTTATAATGAAAATTATGACAATAATATGCTCTTAATATATAAATTCTCTAGTAATTACTCTTGTATTAGAAAATTATAACTCCGATGAATTTCACTTAACTCCTCCCAATTTCTCTTTTCTATTCGCTTTACTCTATTTGGACATAAAAATTTAATTGTTAGAAATTAAAAAAAAAATTATGTTTCAAGTTTATAACTTACATAATTATAATTTGTGGAATTCTTTATACACACATATGTATTCACTATAAAAATATTTATTAATTATTAAAAAATAATTGTTTTTAATTATGCATATTTTAAGTAAATTTTTGAAATTTTTAATTGTTAAACTGGGGTACAACTAAAAATCATTTAATTTTGAAAAAAAAAATTATTTATATTTGATCAATTGTTTTATTTATTAAAATTTTTTAAAATTCCTTTATATTGTTAATATTATACATACGTACGTGTATTTTATTTTTATTAAAATTCGTAAATATTTATTTTTATTCATTTACCTTTTTTTTTTGGTTAACCCGTTGAATTTCTTAGTACTTTTAAGGAATATAATGAAACAATAAAGCAATTTTTTTATTATATTTGTAAAATTCCAAAAACTTCTTTATAATTTTCTCATATTAACCAATAAGAGCCGAAAATTATAATGATAATTGGGATAATTTAATAAGGTTTCAAAGGGTTAATTTTTAAAAGGAATTTTAATGGCATTTTATTTATTCTTTATACCCGTACGAACGTATGTTCGAAGGGTATACTAAATTTGCCTTACCGTTTGTAACGCTAAGAAATAACGGTGTTAGATATAGACTCAAGTGTATGTTTTTGATCAGCGTCAAATTCTGAGTTGATTTAGCTTTGTCTGTCCGTCCGTCCGTCCGTCCGTCCGTCCGTCCGAACGATAACTCAAAAACTAATTGAGCTAAGTTCACCAAATTTTCACAAATGATTTATTGTAGTAAGTGCCAGAACCCTATTTAAATTGGACATGATCGGGGTACCGGTTCGGGTAGCTGCCATACAACTTCAAAATTTATTTGGCTATATCTCAGAAACTATAAAAGTTATGGTATTGAAATTTCACACAAACGAATATATTAGTAGGGCCAATATGCCACATAAAAGTCGTTGAAATTACTTGGCTCCTTCTGGTACCTGCCATACAACTTCAAAAATTATTTGGCTATATTTCAGAAACTATTAAAGCTATGGTATTGAAATTTTACACAAACGAATATATTAGTAGGGCCAATGTGTCACATAAAAGTCATTGAAATTACTTGGCTCCTTCTGGTACCTGCCATACAACTTCAAAAGTTATTTGACTATATTTCAGAAACTATTAAAGCTATGGTATTGAAATTTCACACAAACGAATATATTAGTAGGGCCAATGTGTCTCATAAAAGTCGTTGAAATTACTTGGCTCCTTCTGGTACCTGCCATACAACTTCAAAAGTTATTTGACTATAACTCAGAAACTATAAAAGCTGTGATATTGAGATTTTGCACAAGTGAATATATTAGTAGGGCCGATGTGCTTGATAAAATTCGCTAAAATTTCTTGGCTCTTTCTGGTAGCTGCCATACAACATCAATAGTAGTTTTGCACAACCAGTATTTGAATAACACATAGTACTGAAATTTTGCATAAATTAATATGGTAATACGGCAACTTAAAGTCATAGTCTGCCCCATAGTTAGTTATGGCACATTAGTTATTCGCACATAGGATAACAAATTCGTACGGGTATCACAGAGTTGACAAGGTCAACTCTATTTTTTTCTCGTTTTAAACTACTGTTAGTTAATAAAAAATATTAACTTTGATCTTTTTTTATTACATATACACATACATAGTATACATAATATGTTTACGTTGATTAAATATTTTATTTATATGAAATATTTCGAATCTAAAACAAAATTGTAATTTTAATAAAATTTTACAATCGCCCATATTTATGCAATTTTAAAGTATGTATTTAAGAATATATTTTTGTTGTATAAAGCTAATTGAACTACCCCAAATGTTTATTTTAAAGGCAAAGAACTCTAAATGTGTAGTACAACACCTCCAACTAATATAAAATACATATATAAATGAAGCAATTGAGCGGAGTAGTTAGACTCGCATCTGAGGAGTAGTTAGAATCTGAAAAATACGCGTCAAATTCTTAATATGTATTCAATTGCAATAAATATGTTAGATTTTAGTGCTATAAATAATAGGATCACACCACAGAAAGCAGTGTTTAAATTGACAAACTACTTCCACCTACTCCGAAGTAATTTAGAATGTTATATTTACTATTAAATGGATTGCAACAAATATTTTTATTTGAAATTTTTTGTAAAATTTAAAATTTTTATGAATGCTGTTTTTTTAATAAATAAAAATATTCAACAAATGAAAGATTAATTGAGCTGTATAAGTTGTCTTTTTAACAAAATATAAAAGTCATTCAGTTAGTTCAGTATATTTTGTGTTCGATTTGTGGTTTAAATTAATAATTTCCATTATAAATTGTATAGCTATACCTATATGCCCAATGTATAATGTATAATATGAATTCGTTATATTATAAAATAATATAGGGAGGTACCTTAATATAATGGCATAAAACAATTTTTTTTTTTTTGATATTATTTACAATTTGGTGGTTTTTTTATTCTATACTTATATTTTTAATTATTATTTTGCAATATATGATTATTTATGAATGTATTTATGGCGTACATGTTGTATTTTTTTTTCTCATAATTTATAAATTTTGCGCCAATTTAATTTCAAAATCTCTATGGTCGTACTTAAGTATTTCAACCTGTATTTGTTTTTTTCTTTTTTTTTGAAAAGCCAATTTATTTGTTATAAATTACATATTAATTTTTTGTTTTACTTCATAAAAAACCACATTTATTTTTTTTTGTATTCAAATTTTTATAGTTCAAAAAGAAATTTATACTTAATTAAAACTTTGATCGGTTTTATAAAGATTTAAAAGTAAACAGATTATCTATAGTTTTACTGATTTTAACCTGAAATAAAATATTTTACAGTTTTGTACATATTAAAAAAAAATTAGCATTAGAATTAATATTAATCCTGCCTTTATAATAATATATTTATAAAATTAATTTTTTAAAGGGTCATCCTGTTGTGGAAAGTTCAAATATTAAAATTACATCAACTGATACAAATTCTATTCTTCAAATAACTGATATTACAACTGATGATAGCGGTAAATATACTGTAGAAATCATGAATGACTATAGTAGTGATTATGCTGTTGCATCAGTTGCTGTAGAAAGCCCACCAGAACCTCCCAGTAAACCAAGTATTTCAGCAACATATGATAGAATTTCGATAGCATGGTGCGGACCACCATATGATGGAGGTTGTGTGATTACAGGATTTATGTAAGCACCAAAATAATATTAAAATTATTAAATAAATTTTTAAGGCATAAAAAAAATAATTTAAAAAAAATTTTTTTAGTATTGAAATGCAAGAAAACTCATCAGAATGGATTGAAATAGCACACGTTGTTGATTCATTAGCTTATACAATAAAAGATGTTAAACCAAAAGTTATTTATAGATTCCGTGTTAGAGCTGAAAATATTCATGGTCATAGTGAACCAAGTAAACCAAGCGACGAAACTATTCTACAAATACCAGAAATTATTAATGAAAATTATGATGAAATTGAAAATCGAAAGAAATTATTACTATTAAAACAAGGTGGCGATTTTAAACAAAGATTTGAAACACTGGAAGAATTGGGTAAAGGAAGATTTGGTGTTGTTTATAAAGTAATAGAAAGGGAAACTGGTCAAACAATGGCAGCTAAAGTTATTAAATGTATTAAAGCAAGAGATCGAGTTAAAGTACAAGAAGAAATTGCAATAATGAAATCACTTGAACATCCAAAATTATTACAATTGGCAGTATCATTTGAAACAAATCGTGAAATAATTATGATAATGGAATAGTAAGTTGAAATTCAGTTTTATTAAGATGGATAATTAAAACGTAATTTGCAATATTAATTTTTATATTTTAGTATAACTGGAGGTGAATTGTTTGAAAGAGTTGTAGCAGATGATTTTACATTAACCGAAAGAGACTGTATATTATTTTTACGACAAATATGTGAAGGAGTTGATTATATGCATAGCCAATCAATTGTACATCTTGATTTAAAACCAGAAAATATAATGTGTTATACAAGAACTAGTCATCAAATAAAAATTATTGATTTTGGTTTAGCACAACGTTTAAATTCAGATAGTCCAGTACGTGTATTATTTGGTACACCAGAATTCATTGCTCCAGAAATAATTAATTATGAGCCAATTAGTTTTCAGACTGATATGTGGAGTGTTGGTGTTATATGTTATGTTTTGTAAGATTTTATCAATACTTAATGATTTTATTCCACTAAATTGATTTTATAAATTAAATTTATTAAGATTATCCGGTTTATCACCATTTATGGGTGATGCAGATGTTGATACATTTGCAAATATAACACGTGCTGATTATGATTTTGATGATGAAGCTTTTGATGCAATATCACAAGAAGCTAAAGACTTTATTTCAAATTTATTAGTGCATCGTAAGGAAGATAGACTAACAGCTAAAGAATGTTTAGAATCTAAATGGCTTTCGCAGTATCATGACGAAAATTTAATAAATAAACGTATTTGTACTGATAAGTTGAAGAAATTTATCATTAGAAGAAAATGGCAGGTAAGTAAAGTCTTCAACGAAATTTTCCCGGTTTCATTTTTTATTTTCGTAATTTTTTAAAAGATATATTTTAAATACTCTCATTTCAAGATTTATTGCATGTTATAATTATAATTTATTTTAATTTTTTAAACTATGTGTGTTTTATGTGTGGATTTCGTTTTGAATTAACATGATTACTAAACACAAAAAAAAAAAAAAACAAATTGAACTACAGAAAACTGGAAACGCAATTCGAGCACTTGGGCGCATGGCAAATTTATCAGCATCAAGACGTAATTCAGCGATTTCAGCAACAGGAAGTAGCACTTCATTATCAAATAGTCCACGTCCATCAATTTCAGCTGGCTGTGGACAAACAAATTCGCTTTTAAATCCAAATATTGTTAATCATATGACGTCTGTTAACGAAGAAGAGGATGATGGTGAAATTATTACATCAGCTATAGTGCAAGTACCAAAAGTAGCTACAATCATTGAATCGAAAATAATTCAAAGACCCAAAATTCGCAATAAAACTGAATGTAGTGAACGTAGTGATTCTGGTTTTAGTGAATGTTCAAATTGTAGTGGTGGTGGAATCGGAGGCAATATTTCTTGTTTATGTCCACATCCTATACTAGAAAAACCACAAGCTATTCAAGAAGAAATACTTTTAGAAAAAATTAATGAATTTTCAGTTGGAATACCACATGATATTTTAAAAATAAAATTAGAGGAAGTCGCATCTAAACATCAAGAAATGATTGATAATGAATTGCACATTGAAGAAGTTGAAGCTTTGGAAATGGAAAAACAAAATAGAAAAAAAAATAGTTGTAGTTCAATTGAAAGTTTTAAAATTTTTGTACCAACATTGAATTATCAAGATTTCCCAAAAATTGTTTCATCAACGGATGTTAATACAATAGTATTAAGAACAAATGGTTCAGCTGATGGCTTAAATGATAAAAATTTAGAAAGTACAACAGTAGTTACTCCAAAAGAAGCGATTATGAAATCTGACTTTACAAATACAATTTCAATGAGAAAAAAAAGTTTAGAAAATAATTTTGCTAAGGAGAAATCAAGGAGCAGAATTTCTAAACCGATATTAGGTCCATTAGGAAAAGTTTCAATGTTAAAGAATAGATTCAATCAAAATCAAACCGATAATAGTGGGTCAAATAAAGCAATGCCAGGATATATGAGAACAACATTAAGTCGAAGTACTAGCAGTTCACCAGTAAAATCTTCAATGGGACGAGAATTTTCAAAATCTAAAAATGTTTTTGATCGTTTGGCATATAATCCCAAGAGTAATTTATTTTTGCTTTTTGCTTTTTATATAATTTAAAACTTTTTCTTTATTTAGCTCAAAGTTAATAATTTGTTTGAAATTTATTTTTAATTTTATTAACAATTTTAAATGGGCTTTTAAATCTGAAATAACTTTTTAGCAAAAATTTTCTTGTTTCTTTGAAGAATTTTTATAGTAGTTTAAAGGTTATTCAAAATCAATCCAGTTAAACTCGGAGTTTACTAAATTTTCTTTCATAATAATAGAAGAAATTAGTAGTGAAACAGTTAATATATTAGAATTCTAAATATTAACCTTATGACAATTAATTAGAGATAAAATTATCAATCAAAACTGATGCGTGCTTTGAGTACTTTTGATAATTTTTGCATATAGCTAGTTGGACTATAATATATGCTAATAATATTTTCGATTTAAGCTGAGCATTTAAGATTTTTATGATTGTTTTTTTTTTTGTCTGTGATTTGAAATCTTTTAAAGATCAACTGGTTTTATAATTATTTAATTAATTTTTTTTTGTTAATATTTTAGCAAATGCCACAGCGACAATGCAAACAAAAACAACAAAATATAGCCCTCAATCATTATCCTTACCTGGTTCACCATTACCACAGATGCGATCAACTGCGTCCATACGGTTAAGTAATAAAGTACGTGAAACAACAGAAAGATTATCAGCACCAAAATTCATTGCTGTCTCAAATAATTCAAATCAAATATCAACAACATTGAATTCTTTTGCAAATCGTAAATTAAATACTTTTAAGCAATTAAATATAAATTCAGATTTAGTAGAGACAGCAGTTGGAATTAATATGACATCATCAACAACAGAAAAATTATTAAAAAACAATAATAATAATAGTAACATATTAAATAATAATAATAATAATTTTAGTAATATTAGTAGTATTAAGATAAATAGCAGTACTTGTACTAATACAACTAATATAGAAAAGAATAATTTTGATAGTAAAGATTCGAAAAAACACGATTTAGAACATACTCCAAGAAATTACAATACTAGAAGTTGATTTAAAAACATTTAAATCAAAAATATGGTATTAATTGAAATATTGAAAATATTTTATTTATAGAAATATATAAATATTATGTTTTTCAAATTTTCTAATCGATTTTTAATATTGATTCAATAATTTCTTGGTTATATGCATCTACAATATATTTTATATATGAGTTAAATATAGTTATAAATAATATTGAAACTATATAACTACATATAAACGACAAAAATAAAATATTATATGTATTATTATCATTCTAAATTTTAATTCAATATAAAAAAATTAAAAAGTATGTATGAAAGATTTATTGTATATTTTGGTTTTATTAAAATTAACTCTTAATAATATAATGCGAATTATGAAATTAATAAATAGTTAAATGAATAATTCCAATAGCACAATAAAATCTTTATAATAAAAAAAATTATTTTAATTGGACATTAATGAGAAAAAATTTTTAAAAAAGATTTAGTATAAAATTGATAAGCCTTGAAAAGAAAAAATTAAATTAATAATTTTTGATATTTATTTTTCGTACGGTTAATTATTTACAAATTTTAAGTATGAATATTAATTAAATTACATTTATAATTTATGATAATAATACAATTAATGTTTTAAAAATAATAATGAAAAATTTAAAGTACGGGTGTAAAACTAAGCAAATATGCGACAAAATATTAGTATAATTAAGCACGAATAAATAGATAATATTATTAGTGTGCTCGATCTTCGAATAATTGAATTTAAATAGGCTAGCAGAGATAATTTTATTAAAAATCTATAAAGTACCTGTTAAGTAATTGTCTCTCTTAAATATATTGTGAAGATAGCTTGTTATTATGTGCATGTTATGAATATATTTTATTTTGTCCATTGTTCTATGACCAATTTTGGTTATATTATATGTCAACAAAAATTATTGCTTTTGCAAGCTATATACTTGTACGAGGTCGATACGTACAAATTAACAGAAAATTGTCGCTAAATTAACAATAAATGAAAAACGAAAGTTTAATGAATGCCGAAAAAAATTATTGTGTTTACATGTCTTCAAAGAGGCTTTTCTTGACAAAAATTAAAATAAATTTTATAAGAATAAACCAAATGTGAACTATTAAATCGAAAATAAGAAACATACATACTCTGCATATACAATCTTAATATAAAAAGACTAATTATTTTAAATGTATATTACCTTAACAAACGAAGACTCTATATAATAATTAAATTTAATTTTAATTTGAATAAATTCAAAATTGAATTGCAATTCCTCATCTCTGAATTATAAATTTAAAAAAGAAAAACAACTATTTTAAACCATTACACCCTGTACTTTCAATATATATTTAATTTAGAATGACTATTGATCGTTTATTTTTTAATAATATTTAATAATATTAGTAATTTAATTCTGTATACCTATGCTTGCAATGAAAATTATACCTGTGAGCCTATATGAAACTTGAATTTTATATACCTAATTTTTTCGAAACTCAATGATCCTAAATTATTTTGACTTAAATGTTTTTCATATTTAATTAAATTTTAAACAATAAAAAAAATAAACAATGTTTTTAATTATTTTTACGATATCAAAAATTTTAACTTATAATTTGTCGTTTTTGTAGTGAGTTACATATAAATAGTTATTAAGCAAACTTATAATAATTTGTACTTTTGTTCTCATGTTTTTTTTTTATTTTGTTTTAGGATTTATATAAAATAATATTTTTTTATTTTTTCAGTAATTTTGTTTTGTTATAAAAATTAGTTTTTATTTGAAATATATTGTATTATTATTATTATTTTTTTTGTTTAATAAATTATTATAATGTACTTAATGCTTTGAGATATAAAAGTAATTATTATAAAAGTAGAAATAAAAAAAAACTTAAAAAAATTAGTTTTATTTATTTTATTAAAATGCTGAAATATTAAATTTCTGAAACTAATGTTGTTATTTAACCTCTTCTTAATCTTCAATTAATTTTCAATTGAAAATTTTCAGTTCCGAATGAAGCATACTAAGGCTAACAAAATTACTCTAAGGGACCAATATTTATTGAAAACTAATTCAGTGTTAGAATTTGATAAAAATACACATTTTTAAGAAAAATATTATAACCCACTGGAATAAATAAAAGTAATGAATAAGATTATTCTAAATTTATTACATAATTTGTTTTCATATTAATTTAAAATTTATTAATAATTTATTCTATCACATATAACTATATAAATATTTTTTTATATTTATTCATTTTCGATCCTATTATATTCATTCATTCGAGGTTTCAATTTTATCCATAAACCACCAGATGCTCTTAATGTTATTCTAAAAGCTGGTTTAAGTATAGTTTTACCCGGTACTGGTAATAATTCATAGTTTCTTAAAATCTTTGATATAATTGTTTTAATTTCCAAAAATGCAAATTTATCACCAATACATTTTCTTGGTCCAGCTATAAATGGTATATATGCATATGGATGCCTTTTTTCACAATTTTCTGGTGTAAATCTTTCTGGATCAAATTTTTCTGGATTCGGATATATATGTGGTATTCTATGTGTTGCATATGGTGATATAAGTATATTACTACCACTTGGTATTCTATATTTTGATATTATTGTATCTTCACCCAATTTTCTAGCAACTGCTGGTACACTTGGATATAAACGTAATGTTTCCTTAATACACATCTCTAAATAACGCATTTCCTTTAAATCATTCCATGTTGGTGGACGCTGTTGATCATTACCAAAAATTAAATTTAATTCTTCAAAGCATTTCTGTTGTACAGATTGATTTTGTGCTATTAAAAAAATACAAAGTGCTGTTGAAGCACCAACTGAATCTTGGCCAGCTAACATAAATGTACATGCTTCATTAATAATATCATCTTCAGTAAATTCTGGATTTGTTTCGTTTATTTCAATCATATAATCGAGAAGACACTTTCTTTTTATTTCATTAGATTCTCGTAATTTTTTTCGAGTTTGAATCATTTTACGTGTAAAATCATTTAATCTTTTCTTTTGATTTAATTCTTCAGCAGCGGCTTGAGTTAATTTATAAAAACCATTAAGTAGAAGCCATGGACGTGATACACGATGTGGAACAACCAATTTTCCTCTGCGAATAATGAAAAAAATAATTTTAGAAAACGAAAATTTTCATACAGGTAAGTATTTTTTTTTAGTTATTGTATGGTTAATAAAAGTTGCGCTCGGCAATGTTAAATCGTATTAAATACCTAAATCTGCTATAAAATACCTAAATCTTTTATAAAATGTGAAGGATTTAACTGCAATTGAAAGTTTTTAATCGGGTACATGTTAAATACTCTAGAAAAAATGAATATGTTTTTTACAGGAACTTTGACTATTAAATCTAAGTTAGGATTACAAAGCTGAATTTATTGTATAATATTTTGTATAGTTATACAATATATGAATTTTTACTTACGACCTAAATGGTGAATCTTCAGTAATTAACATTTCTTTTTCATTTTTAATTACGGGTACACCCAATACAGCTTCATTCAAAATATCCATAATACATTGATTAACAAATGATGCAATATTAAGTTCTGATGAACTTTTATTTAATTTATCTAAGAATAATTGTGATGCATCAGCAAATGTACCTAAATATCTTTCAAGAATTGTAATATGAAATGATGGTTGTATTAATTTTCGATGAGTTTCCCATTTCATTCCACTATTTGTAATTAAACCATTACCAAGAAAATTATGCAATAATCCATATAAAAAATTTTTATTTGAATGTTTTTTTGATGATAAAATTGTTTGTAAATCATGTGGTTCTAATACTGCAAAAAATGGTATTATAGAAAGCCATAAACGTATTAAACCACCAAAAACTGTATACGCAGGTCCCATTCTTCGACGTAATACTATATAAATATAAAAAAAATAGGCAATATTCGTTTAATGTAAATAATATAAATTGGAAAAGGTTACAAAAATATAATGAAATTTTCTCATACTTACAGTCATCTTCTAAAATTTCTGTAGAATTGCCAATAACAGGAGTTGCATCTGGTCCGGGTAATTGTAATGCTAAAATCACTGATTTCAAATAATTAGAAAAATAATATAAGAGTCCACAAATGATTACAAGCGCTATAAAACTCCATAATTCTACAAAAGATGCTTTTTCAATCTAAAAATAAAAAAGATAAACACAATAAAAATTATTTCCAATATTTCATAAGCAATTAATAACATATTAAAAAATATATTAGTACATAATTGTTGAAGGTAATTATTTCATTTCTATTTTTTAACTGATTAGCGAAAAAATATAATTAGGATTTAACTGTAATAATTAACACTTGTATGTGAGTTTTTTTTTTTTTTAAAATACAAAATTATAATTTGAATTTGTTTAAGAAATTTATTTAATAATTGAAATCACGCAAATGTAATTACAAATAGCTACTAATATATTTGTTTTATTAAAATAAAAGATTTCCTTATTTAAGGTTTTTTAATATTTTCAAAAAATTCTACTACAACATATGCTAAGGGGAAATTTAATAATTTTAATTATCAAATTAATGTAGAGTAGCTTCATAAAAATATACATGTAGCGGTCATTATTATAACTAAAATAATAATGACGTCTATCGAAAAATAATTATCTCGTAGCATCCCTACGAATATCACTGCCTATTTTTAAATTCTTATTAATAAAATCAATAATTTATGCTTCTGTTTTCATTCTCTCAATATTAATGCAACAATTGAGTATAGTGTGATGTGACACACAAAGTACTAATATTAATTAAAGCTTAATATAACATTTAATTTTAATTTAATATTTAACATAAATTTTAATATTAAACAACATATTTAATTTATACAAAATTATTAATTTACATATAACGTTTACGTTTAATTTACAATAATGTTATTTATTCCTGCCTTTTGAATAAACAATTACATGGTGGTATAAGAATCAACACTATTTTATAATCACCTTATACATATTATCGTAAATTTTAAAAAAGACATTACTCAGTGTGATTGCGAGAATTGTTTTAAATATTAATTAACCGGTAGATGGCTTTAAAATTTTCACAATAAAAGTAAAGCTCTCTTGGTACATTTTTCATATACATATATTCAGGAACATGTACATATATGTGTAAGAGTTGCCTATATTACCCTCAACTACTTTTTTCTACTAATTTTGCGTACAATGAAAGCAGTTTGATTAATTAATTTTTATTATTAATCAATCATGTCCTCTATTTCACAATGTATATTGTGCATGACGTATAGTATATAATTTCTGATCCAACCCAGTATTTAATTCACAATGAGTTTACAATTCACTTAAATATTATGTCAAATATAATATTTGCAATTCTTCTCAGCTTACAATTTATAATCTACATTATAATAAATTTATACGCAATCAATACAATTTCATCTTTTCATTATTATATAAATTAAAAAGTTTAACATATTTTTAACACCACGCCATATTACAATATAAACAATATTATTTCAATAGATTAATAGGGAAGCAATATTTTTAATAAGTTTAATAAAATTTTATGCGATTATTTGAATATTATGAAAGCTTTTTGTGTGATTTATTGTTTATTGTTACTTTTTGTTTTGAGATATAATAAAATGCACATAATTGCAGTATTATATCATATATACCACATAATATCATATATACCACATATATTTGATATATAAGTAATAATTGTCAATTTAATTCCAAATCAGTTCTAAAAATTTCATTTTATCAAACGTGATCAATGGTCTAAAATTAAAAATAAATTATTTAAATTATTTTATTTATATAATTTTTATAAATTAAGTTATTTATCAACAAATATTTCATATAACAATATTGTTTACCTATTTTAGATATGATAGTCTGAATTTTATCACGAAGATTTCAATATAAGATCTTTAAAACTTTACATAATTGTTATTGTTATACTAATTGTTAATTATTGTATTAAAATCAAAATTTAATTTTAATTCAAGAATTTAAAAAATGTCAAGCCTATCTCTTTATATTTAATTTATTTTTTTAATTTTCTTTTTTCATGTTATTTATCAAATCGTAAAATTATGCAATTTTAACACGTATGCATTTTTTATGTTATTTCTATCAATTACTACTTATTTAGTTTTCGTTTATTTTAGGTAGATGTCGATGCCATATCTATTTTTACGTATTAGACATAAATCGGTTCTATTCGACAACACGGACATAACTCAAAATTTGCAAATTTTGAGAAAAACAAATGGAACGTTTTGGAATTTAATTTTTTTCTGCATTATATAGCATTATTTTATAATTTATTTTAAGCAACAAATTTCAAGCTTGCACCGAAATGGGAATGGTTTAAATGCTTTAATACAATAATAACTTGGAAATCGTATTTTTTGAGTTAGGTCACCGTTGCACCAAATGATCGATATATTTATGTTCTTATTTTGACATTTGAAAATATCAAAAAGAGCATTATTAATTTATTTTGGAATATGAAAGAATTATATTGTTTAAAATTATAAGCGCCGATTAATTTATGCAAAATATAAAATCAGAATAATAAATTGAATAATAAGAAAATCAAAAATGAATTCTGGCAAATTAATGAAAGTAAAAAATGATAAAGAGAGTGGCAAAAAACAAAAATTTAATCATAAATCAAAATATTTAATTGAGGAAAATTAAACGAGAAAAATAAGAAATTGGGGAAAAAAATCAATTGTTTATTCACAAAATAATTAAATGGTAATAAAAGTAAGTAAATTAAATTAATTCTATTATAATGGAATAAAAGTGAAAATATATTTTAGGTTGATATGTGAATCATTTATATCATTAATAACAATCATTTTGGCCAGCATTTGCAATTTGTGTTAATCCAAAATTTTCTAAGGGTATAACATAATAAAGAATGAATATTATGAAAACGAATTGAAAAAGGATAAAGACGACCTTAGGCTGATATATGACTCTTATATAATAGAGAAAATAGAATAAAGATAAGGATCACATGACAGACAAGGAGTACACCTATAGTTATGTTTACGATGTTACTTAAAATCGCTTTTTACTTAGCATCGAACAAAAAATAATACTGCAAATATTATTTTATTTAATCGTAACTTATTTTTAAATTATCATTTGCTTAATTTAAATACATTTAAGTTTCAATAATCTACTATTATACTATTATTGAAATGCGCTCATACAACACTATTAATAGTACAAAATTGCTACTATGTGTACAAATGCATGTATGTACATATAAAATTATCATTTATACTTAATGTTTTAACATTAATTTTCTATGTATTCAAATTAGAAATTTTTAATTATTACACAATTTTATTTACAGATATTTAACGTGATAAAAATATATATTGCACATTTAATATTTTAGTAAAATCACAATTGCAATATATGATATTTGTAATTCTTATATTATGATATAATAATTATTATTATAAAAGAAAAGTAAAAAAAAATTAGTAATATTAGTATAACAATATGTACGAGTACTTAATAACTTTTTCTTGGAAAAATTTCTTGGCAAGTTCACAAAAAAATGTATATAAATTTTACACTAGAAATTTTAATGTTAATCGATTGTGTACGTTTTGTTTAATAATTTATCAAATATTTTAAAAATTTGATAAACTATTAAGAAATTTAATTTTACAAAAAGTAGGCATGTCTTGTAAGGGATATGACATTTTTGTTTAAAAATCATAAATGTAATTTTAAACTTAATTTATTATAATTGGATTAAATTTAAGTTGTTGTATTGTGTTGTTATACACGCAAGACACATTGTTCTATAATGTGCTAATTCGTATAAGTTATACAACAATTTGCTGATATACTTAGTAAATTTACTTTAAATACAAGTAGTTAATAATGAACGAATACATAAAATATCAATTATAAAATAAAATATTTTTTCAAAAGTGTTATAATAGTTCTATATAATATTAAATCTTTGGAAATTTATTTTCCTGCAAAAGTAATTTTTTCGCAATTATATAAGATTAATTTAGTTGAAAATTAAGAACAAATGAACAAACTGGTTGAAAATTATTTAAATTAAGTTTTTTTTTCGAATTCTTCATGTTTTATTTAGAGTTTTTATAATAAAGATGTCGACTATTAAGTATTAGAGCTGTACGAATTTTGTAAAAATTGTGATAATTTCATTATAACAGGTATCACTCGTAAATACCATCGCCGATAAGATCCAGAACCGTTGTGTATTATTTTTATTAAGTAGTTATAGAATCTTTAGTTTGGAACATACATGAATAGAAATTTCAAAACAAGATTACAAGATATTTTTGTCGTTAGCCATTTATGGTGATTGTCTTGTACTAGTACAGTAATACTTTAAGCGTAAACTTATTACAAGTAATTTACGATATAATTTGGTAAACTTATAACAGATTAAAAAAAAAAAATAATTCTATTTTAAAATTTGTATGTATTTTAAAAGTCGCATAATATATACGAATGACATTGACGTTAATTTGAATTAAATATCTTAACTGTATATTTTTTTTATTCAGCTATTAATTTTACATTATCATAAGAATTAAAATTTCTTGATTGGACTTAGTAATAATGGCATATTTAATTGTTGTTTATTTTATTTTTTTTATTTCTTTTTGTACTTTTCGCTCTTTTATAGAAATTTCCCGATTTGACAGAAATGGAAAAATTATAATTAATTTCAATATATTTTTGGCAGGTCGTTGTGTTTTTAATGACTGAATTTTTTCTTTTAGTTTTTGCTGTTTTTTTTTTTATTTTGGCATAGTTGACTTTTTACAACTTGTGCAAATTGTATGTATGTATGTACATACATGTGTACACAGTTAAGAAGACCCATGTTTAAAATTTGACGTAGATAATATGCAAATTTAAAAAAATCAAAAAAAAAAAAATTATAAATTTTTGCTGACTAGCGTTGAATGGTGCCATTTTCCAAATAAAGTTTTTAAATTTTTATTTAATTATATTAAAAAATTGTTCTTTATTGACAATGTCAATGTCAAACTGGTGATAGTTTATTCATTTTTATATATGTATGAAGATACTCTGAATTAAATAAGTGATTTTTACCAAATTGGTAAAATATTTTTTTT